AGCTGCAATTTTTAGGTTTGCCGGTATGACCAGAAGGTGTTGACCATGTCTTTGAATCTCGATAGGGGGAGAATGGAGGTGTTGAATTTATATAACCCCACCCCCCTCTGAATATCACTGTGAAGGACAGTCCCGATGTGATTATTATATGATCGCGGGATTTGCACGGGATGATGGTTGTTATTTCAGCCGTAGTGATCAACCCTACCAACTCCTTAGCTACTTACGTTATAGGTCTATTCGTGAGTTTGCGAGGCCGCGTTCTCCTCTTGCTGATAAGCATGTGTAGGCTCTTTGGTTGGGGTACAACAGCCTATACGCGTCCTCTAATTCCCTGTCCGCCATCAACTGTTTGAGCATCAAGATGTCTGGTCTGATACCCTGTAGTGAGAGGGACGATGGGTCTAATCATTGTGAGGTGGATTTACGATCCAAGGATGGGTTGAGTCTGGTGTTGAAATCCCGACCCAGAATAAGTGAGGTGTCGTCCTCCACCTGCTGGTGCAGGGTGAGTCACAGGTCCACGCTGCTGGTGGGGTCAATGGGTGCATACATGCACAAATAAAATTCCTCTTCCTCAAATGTCACTTTTAGACTTACTCATCTGCCATGCTGGTTGTCGTGGTCCACCTTTATTGGTCTGAGTTTCAGGGAGGACAACAGCCTGATTGCCACACCTGCTGAGGCCCTGTCCTTAGTAGGCGCAGAGTAGCAAGCGTATGGCGGTGTTCAGGGGGGTATCTTGCATATGTGTCTCTTGGATGCACACCGCATCAGGCCATCCGCCCGTAATAGGGCATTTCATCATGTTCAAAATGGCATGTTTTTGTCCACTGATGCTCGAATAAGACTATTACAATTAATGGACCGGATGTCGATATCTGCACAGGCAATCTTACTTGTCCTTCTGGCTCGTGGGAAGACTGGGGGCGATGGGGGTGTTGGTCCCTTTTTTATTGTTGCATCCTTTTTTTCTTTCTTTTTTTTTTTTAAACAAAAAGGCCCAGTGCCCAAGACTTCAATTATGAAGTTGATTACAACACTTATACGCACGCCTCTTCCCATTACGGCTGGAAGAGCTTCAGCCACTGCTCCCCTGGAGACAGCTTCCTTGCAAAACACGAATATAGCCTAGTCGGGGGGCATTGATTGCTTCCCGAGTGAGGAAGGATTAACCCTGTTTGTGTGCACAATCAATCTCTGCCTTACAAAACTCCTCAATTATCCCAACTTCAATCATTCTACACGGTGAGGAGTAGGGGAGATATCAATACAGCAAAGAGATTAATAACAGGGCAAGAAAACTTAGTAGTTCAGTTGTAGTTACGCCGAGCTTCCCCTAAATATCAGTAGTTAACACGAACACAAACCATAGGGAAGCACAATAGTTGAAAGAAAATTATAATCTAAACGTAAAGACCATAAAACCAAGTCAAACCCTAACCAATGACGACCAAGGATTGAACTTGACCCTATGAGATGGAGATGGACTTAGATCAAGTACCATGAGAGAGGAAGAATTCACCCAACAAGAGAGATCAACACAGATGAAAGGAGGGAGGGAGGGAGGGAGAGAAAACAAACCAAGAAGTCACCCCTGCCTCCCAAACCCCCTCTCCGCAACCTCTCTTCTTCCTCCCGAGTCCCGCGGATAAAACTCATCGTCCTTCCACCCCTCACCCCATCGCCAGATCAGCATCATCTCATGCACGTCAAAATTTTCATGCGAGAGGGCGGGAAGAAAGCGAATAACCCTCACCTTAGTAACTAGCCCATCGCCAGATCTTGGTTAGACGCCAATTGTGTAGATCAAAGTGGGCAAGACAATCATGACTGAAGATTGTATTTCAGATGTCATTGTCGGAGTCACTGTTATTGTAGTTTGAAAAATTGTTGGTGTTGATGATGTTATCGCGGTTGGCGCTGTTGATGTAGGTAGTGTTTCAGATGTCATCGTCCAAATTGCTGTAGTTGTCGTTTGAAAAATTGTTGGAGTTGATGATGCCATTGCGGTTGGCACTGTAGATGTAGATAGTGTTTCGGATGTCATCGTCAGACTCGCTGTTATTGTCGTTTGAAAAATTGTTGGTGTTGATGATGCCTTCGCGCTTGGCGTTGTTGATGTAGATATAGTTAACGAACTTGTTTAAGATGTCGTCGTGAGAAGCGCTGTTGTTGTCGTGATGAAGATCGTTGGTGTTGATTATGCCGAAGATATCATCGTCGCTTCTGAAAGTTGCTGCGAACCACTTGAGGCAGCGCTCGCAAACACCTCCCCAGATGTGCTTATTGCCCCCTTATCACACAGATCGCTCCCTTCCTCGCAAATCGCACAGCAATTGCCCATCAAGGAGTCTACGAGTTGCCAATCAAGCAGATCATCCAGTTGTGGATCAGGCCCTTCTTCAAGCTCCCAAAGGACATCCATCATCCTCTGCCGCTTATCCTCCAGCCATGCGGTCCTATAAGAGGAGGAGAGCGATCTGTGTGATAAGGGGGCAATAAGCACATCTGGGGAGGTGTTTGCGAGAGCTGCCTCAAGTGGTTCGCAACAACTTTCAGAAGCGACGATGATATCTTGGACAGAATCAACACGAACGATCTTCATCACGACAACAACAGCGCTTCTCACGACAACATGTGAAACAAGTTCGTTAACTATATTTACATCAACATGCCAAGCGCGAAGGCATCATCAACACCAGCAATTTTTCAAACGACAATAACAGCGAGTCTGACGATGACATCCGAAACACTATCTACATCTACAACGCCAACCGCGATGGCATAATCAACTCCAACAATTTTTCAAACGACAACAACAGTGATTCCGTCTACGACATCTGAAACACTACCGACATAAACAGCGCCAACCGCGATCACATCATCAACACCAACAATTTTTCCATCGACAACAACATCGACTCCGACGATGACATCTGAAATACAATCTTCAATCATGATTGTCTTGCCCACTTTGATCTACACAATCGGCGTCCAACCAAGATCTGGCGATGGGCTAGCTACTAAGGTGAGGGCTGGTTTCGATTGTTGCATCCTATAAACTTATTTTCCTTCGTGTACAGTTCTTGACTGGGAGCACACAAGGTGGATCATCCCATTGGTTGTGTTGTTCTAAGACACTATCCTCAAGGAAGATTTGCATAAAGATGAGGACCCTACAGGCAATCCATGCATAGTTAGTTTTGAAGCAAGTTGTACAGAGGTCCAGGAGCTGTTGGTGGGTAAACCATGTCAAGCACATTTTTGTTTTCTGGTTTCTGGTTTTTGGGTCAAGCAGCAGTAGGACCGGGATGATGCCATTTGGGAACAAGAGGGTTGTCAGCACCACCGCTACTAGGACATCGTTAGTATCCGTCTCTTTGACCCAGTACTTCAAACGTTTGAGGATTACTGTAGTGGAGGGATTGTCGTGAAGCCGGTTTGAGCTGAGACGTCTCCCCACACAGGGCCACACTCTCTCATGGAGATATGAGGCCGAGCAGCCATTTCCCATCCTCCATTTCCATCACTATCGGAAAGATGCGCACCCCCAGGGGCATCACCATCGGGGCATTGTCCTCTTCCTAGAGTCTAACCAGTTCCCCCAGTTTTCTGGGGGGGGCATCCACGTTACGATCGTCATCCGATCCACGGGGTCTTTCCACTTTCAATATCATCCTTAGCTCCGACAAGCACAAACGTCCCCTTAAATTGGCACTAGAAATTGTTGATGTACCAAACCCGCCAAGACGTCATCCTCGTCACGGGTTAACGAAACTGGCACCGTTAGCCAATCGGCGCACCAAAGACTCAGCCATGTGGAATGAATGTGCCCAGACTTGGGATCTGTGTCTTCCCTCTTTGAGGATTCATAGTCACCAAGATTGTCAGGTCTCACAGGAAAGCTTGAACGGTCATGCGTCAGAGATGGTGACGGTTTTTCCGTACCTCTCAAACCAGCCATGCAGAGACCAACGTGACTTTAGTTGCTTGATAAGCTGTCGGCTGAACGACCACTACCGCCGATGGCCAAAATTCTGCTTTCCGATTAGTTAGGGCCGGGTTTGGGGGGAGTTTAGCGATTCGTAGTCCTAAAAAAAAAAAAGCCAGTACCTTTCTCATACATCAGCCGTGGGCCTGAAATTCGTCTTTGTGCCAAGCTTTGTGAATACATATGACCGCCGCCGCCGCCGCCGCCAGTCGTTTCGCGGCGGTCTGCACCTCCATGCTTATTTTTTTTTCTTTTTTTCGTTGAAAAAGTTTGTGTGGGGAAGCCGCTAAATGAGGTGATAGGATCAGCCTCGTTAAGTGGGCCCCAACGTTGAACGCTCCATCTATTGGTGGAGAGCAGCACCTGCTGGAAATCGGGTCCAGCGTCCCTACACAATGACATGACGAGTGTCAACTGGAAATCGGGTCCAGCGTCCTGCCTGCCTTCGGTCGGCGTCCGACATCGACGAAATACGCTTATTCAATAATGTGTAGAGATGTCTTAAGTGTGCATTCTTACGTGTGCATCCATTACTATGTGATTTGTGTTCATTTGGTCATGCAAAGCCAAATCCGTATTCCACCATATGTGCCATATCACTCTGAATTGCAGGGGCATTTGTCTGGTTTCACACTTAAACGTTTACCCAGATCCCTTCCCGCGATCTTGAATACTTGAGCTCTAGTTCCAAGTTTGAATTTTGCTGCGTACATTTTGCCCAGAGAGTGGCGTAAAATAGTAGAAAAATACCACATGATACGGCGTCTAAGCTAATAGAGAAAGATTGGCACATTGGCTTCTTCAACGGATTACTGCTGCTTTTTTAATTCCAACTATACTTTTAGCAATTACTTCCCAGCGACAGGGAAGGATTGACTTCCTGCCATGGAAGCGTAACCGTAACGAGAAGCATTCTCATCACCCACCACAACAAGCAATCATCAAAACACCCCAAAAAACAGATCAGACACACGAAAAACCTAAACAACCTACCTCCCACCTGAGGAACAGTCAACACCCTTTGTTGATTGAAATCGAGGGTCCGTCGACTCCAACCAACAGAGGGGACATATACTATCCTACTCCCATCTGCTGCCAGACATTGAGGAGTGAGAAATAGAAGGTGGGGGGGACAATAAAACGTTTTTTCAGCTCTAATCCCCTTCTCCCCATCCTCGTCAGATCCCCACTCCTCTTCAGCTGTGATGATGTTTTTGTTGTTGCAGCTGTTGTCTCTGTTGTCGTTGTTGCTGCCAGCGGTGCAGGCGCCGTTGTTGTTGCCGTTGTTGTTGTTAATGTCTCAATCGTCGTTGTCACCGTTGTCAAAAACGAAGCTGCCTGGACCGGTGTCTCCACCGTTGTTGGAAATAACGTCGTCGTGTGGTCTTTGTTGTTGTCGCTGTTGACGTCATCTTCGACGATGTTGACGTTGTTGATGTTGTTCTTGTTGTTGACGTTCTTGTTGTTGTGGTTGTTGTTGTTGGTGGTGGTGGTGTTGTCCACGCCGCTGTTGCCATCGTCATCGCTGCCTGTCCCCATGTCACTATTGATGATAATGTTGTTGTCGATGTTGTTACAGACCTGCTCCCCTGTCTTGCCACGGTTAATGATGCTGTTGTAGTTGATGTTGTCACCGACCTGCGCTCCAGTCTTTGCCGTTGATATCATCGATGTTGTCGTGTCTCCTTTACTGCCGCTGTTGTAGTAGCTATCGGAGAGTGCTCGCCCTTTCATGAAGAGATGGTAGCATCTGCGTATGATCCCGCTCTCCCGCCCCAATTGACGATGCCATTAAGCAGAGGATCCGGCCCCTCATCTATCGCCCTGACAATGTCCAGCATCTGCTGGGACATATCCTCCAGCAAATCAGCCATCGAAGGCCCACCCTCTTGGACCTCAGATGGGTGGTTTGCTGGAGATGACATCACCCGCACAAATTCGGCACAATCTCTTGCAGCTGAACCCTCCCATTCTCCAGATCTGACAACCATGCATCCGCTCGCTGTTGTTGATCTTCATTTGACGCCACCATACCTTACCATCGTTCCTGCCAAGTCGTGTTTGTTGTGTATCGACCGTTGCCCCGCTTCTTCACGCCAAGCGTTCTCCTACTTTCCCGCCAATAGATTCACATGGAGAATCTACGACATCAGCATTGCACACGACGTACGGTGGGACCTCTAGCCTAGCCAAAAGCCACCTGGCACGGTGACGTTGCCAGTCGCTCGAAGGGCAGTCAGGCCTTGCCGGCTGCGATCGCTCAGAGCATTAGCGCTCCTCGTGATGCGGTGACATGGAGGCTGCCGGGTACGAGCTTGACATGGGCCCTGATGCTACAGGCTGTCCCCTGGCCGGTACCGTTGACCTGCAGGTCAGGTGAAGCCCCAGCATGTTCCCTCATTTGAGGCAATGAGAACTCGGGCTGGCTAGCCCGCACCTCCACGTTAACCCCCGCGCTGTTTTTTTTTAAAGCTGGGAAAGGTACTGGCAGCTTAAGCAACCAGTACATCGGGAGAATTAGAATCAGCCTCTCTGAAAAGTTGGGGGACACAGGACAGGGCCAGCATGGGGGCCGGGCTACTTTTTTTGTTTTTTTCTGGGTCAGGGCCCCTAGTGCCACCCCACAGCACGCCATGTGACAGTTGCTTTTCCCTATTGGCCCTTAGGACACCCTGTTGCAAGCCTCCTAAAGTTTAGGAGAGGCTGAATCACATTCTCAACTTGGCTGGGGCCATGTACCGGTGGTCTAAGGCAGCAAAATTTTCTTTATCGTTTGGTGAAAAAAAAAGTTAAGGCAACAATTGTCACCCTGTCTGTATAGCCTCATGTACTGGTGGTCTAAGGCAGCAAAATTTTCTTTCTCGTTTGGTGAAAAAAAAGGTTAAGGCAACAATTGTCACCCTGTATAGCCTTAGGAGTAGTGGTGTTGGGTGGGTCGTGAAAGACAGAATTCGAGAGAAGAAGATAAGAGCAAAAGAAAACAATTACAAGCCTAGGTTAGAGGGTTGGAACTTCGGTCAGGAGTAGGTTTTTATTAGCTGTTGTATGGGTTGGCTGCTGCTGCCTTTATACCACAACTGATTGTTTATTATTTTTATTTATTTTTCACACCGTTTTTTGGTGGGTAATTTGCTGGCTCTGCCGAGTGTCGTTGAGTCTACGGACTCACTAACCACAGCCGGGTAATTGTCTAAGTAAGTGATGGTGTCTGTTTCCAGGGGCCAAGTCCCACTTACCCCAATCCTTGACCAGGTGGGACTTGGCCCCCGTTTTTTTGTGAGGAATTCCCAGCCTCATGTTCTCATGATATTATGTATCCTTTCTTTGCCGCCTCCCCGCTCACCCCCCCCCCCAAAGAAAAGTAGATCCGCACAAGGCAAGCTAAGATTACACAGCTCATACCATGGCAGCCTGCCATCCTCACCCAAATAGAACACCCAATCATTATTACCGTACGTGGACTGGAAGTTGACCTGCATACAGTTAAAATGACCAGGCGTTATATTGGCAAGAGACTATACTTGCACTGTTCACAAGCGAGCAACACCACACAGCAACAGGAGGCCGAGGTCCCATGGGATGTGGTGTGTTGTTAGCTAGTGGAGGGCGGCATCCCACCACTGCCGGATTTGGGCGACCACTGGGCATGCCAGGAGGCAGTGCTCCAGAGTTGCACGGGGCCAGGGGATGCAGGGGGCGGGGGAGGGGGGGGCTGTAGTAACCCTGTTCAGAAGTAGCCTGGGGCCCAGAACTCAGCCCCAGGCAACGCAGACCTGAGATGGTCTGCGCTGGGATGTGTGACCAAGACACGCACAGGCCTGAGTCTGTCGCGTATGGCTGTGTGACCGAACGCTGCACACACAAAATTCAAGGGTCAAAGTCAACTGTAGAGTCAAACGTACCGCACCCAGGCCCTTGGTTGGATACACTCACTTGTTGTGCGCAGGTACCCAGACAGCTTCCAGGCCTGAGGGAATTCGGTTTCAGACCAATCTGGGCCCTTGTTTGCATTGAGATCTGGACGGTTGAGGGACGCAGCATCCGGGGTCCAGACCCAGCGTAAACGCTACATAAGCGCTGACTTCCTGGCTTTGACATTCACTCAGTCGTGGTTCAATGCTGACTTCACACGTTGCCGACATGATGCTTGCTCGACGCTGACACTGGTGGATGCTGGCTTTGCACTGGCATTTGAGAGACCACGACGATGCGCTGCTGGCTCGGCATGATAGCTGGCTAGCTACTGTCTTCAAGGCATGCTGACGTGGCAGCTGCCACGCTTTACTACTGACGTGGCTGCTGCCACGTGTTCTATTACGTGACCGGTTCTGCTGTTCTGATTCATCGTCACTCAGAAGGAGATCATGACTGTGGGGTAATCGTGGATATACGTACCTTGTCACCTTGAGGTCGACATTGCTCCAGTGCGCTGATGAGGGACTGATTAGACGTGCCATGTGGCACATTGAGGTTACTTCAGATACTCGTTCAGACTACTGATTATTGAGGTGTTGATCGAGGAGGGAGCCCGAAGTAGGAGTGGGCCTTGTATTTATTTCCTCTCCTTTGTCTAATCTCCCTCCTCTCTCCTTCGTCTGTGTATGATTATCTCACCTCATTCTGTCTGGACACGATTTTGACTATTGGTAATCATCAGCTGGTTGACATTCATCTGGGCTTGCATTGTTGACGACTGTCTTCACGATCTGGGTTCATTGCAGGGGAGGTCATGGGGCGAAGGGGACAGAGGTAAGCGGGCGGGGGCGTGGCGGGGAGCGGTGGGGCGGGTGGCGGATCGGGCATTGGGGGGTGTGGGAGCTCGATAAAGTCAGTTTGGAGCCATCATCCAATCCTACAAACAAATATGGCAGGACCCCCGCAGGCTGTTCAGTGAATTGGATGCTGAACTGAACATCCTATGGAAGCCCTGGAGGCTGAGAAGGCCCATGAACGACTTCCACATCCAGTAGCTCCAAACTGACTTTATCCTGCTCCCGCACCCCCCAATGCCCGGTCCGGCCCCCCCCCCCCCCCCCCCCGCCACGCGACCGG